GCATGACGTGTCCAATTGGGGCAATGACAGATGTATGAATCTATTCGGCCATATATGTTAGTGTCAAATTACGAAAAACTGCCCTACTTGGCCATACGAGTTTAGCGTTGGGCCATATGTTTTAGTCGGCACTGGCACAACATGTTCAATCGGGGCAAGGGCAGATATATGAATCTATTCGGTCTTATATGTTAGTGTCGAATTACACTACACTGCCCCACTTGGCCAGACGAGCTTAGCATTGGGCCATATGTTTTAGTCGGCGCTGACATGACATGTCCAATCGGGGCAAGGACAGATATATGAATCTATTTGGCCACATATGTTAGTGCCGAATTACGCTACACTGCCCCACTTGGCTAGACGAGCATAGCTTTGGGCCATATGTTCTAGTCGGCGCTGGCACGACGTGTCCAATTTGGGGCAAGAGCAGATATATGAATCTATTCGGCCACTAATTTTCATTAGCAAATATAGAACAAAGTTTTCTTGCTTTCTTGAAAAGACAAACAGGCTACTTTCATTAATAAACTGAGTGCATACAACCGTCACTTTATACACGAAAGCTGCCTTACAAATGACCTCTAAACAAAATGAGCCAGGGGTTTAAGCCAGCCATGCTTAAAGCCTTAGTTCTCAAATTTCAATACCTCCTCCGCGTACTTCTCCATGGCTGCGTTTTCTCCGGCATCGAACGCCTTGGAAATCTCTGACTCGATGAGCTCTTTCGCCTTCTCTGATTCTTCCAAATCGGCCTCCAGTTTCTCGATTGCCTCTTTGGCCAACTTTAGCGTATCGTCACTCATATTCGCCCTTTCCTTGGCGGCCATCCGGAGTAAATCGGCACATCTGGCCTTTTCCTCTTTAGCGTTGGCCTTTGCTCGCTCCTCTTCCGCCTTTTTGGCCTCCGACTCGACTCTAAGAGACGCCACCCCCAACTCGGCTAGCGCCTCTTTAGCCTTGCCCTTTGCGGTCTCAATCTTAGCTTTAAGTACGCCAATTTGCTCGATAGCGTCATAGTGACGACGGCCGATTTCTGCGATTCTACCTGCCGCCTGAAACAAGACAAGGGCACGCTATAAAAGAAATTGGAAGTGCTTAAATTTCCCAATTACGTACCAATATCGCCGACTGCGCAACCAATGCTATTGAAATCACGTCCAGTTCTGCACGGAACACAGCCTTGTCCATCGGCAAGAAAATTGCCGAAGCCACACTTAGGGCCACGGCGGGGTCTTTAATAGCCGACGCATCGGTAGAAACCGGCGCATTCTTCATCCTAGGTTGGATGATAAATGACGCCAGTAGGTCTTGGGACAACTCTTCTATTCGAGGTCGCTTATTAGTTATCTCTTCGGATGACTCAGCCTCTATCTCGGCGGGGCGTTTCTCCCCCTTTTGTTCAGCGCCTAAATCATCTGATTGTTGTTCAACGACCGAGTCAACCGCAACAGTTTCTCGCTCCGCTTCCTCAACAGGAACAGACGGTGGGGGTACGGATCCAATGCTTTCGGCCCTCCTTCTGGCTGCCATCTTTTCGGCATTTTTCCTTCTAGCCATTTGTGTGAGCGATTCTCCAGCCATGTTCTTAGGGTTTACGCCAGGTAAGTCTCCCAAGTTGGTGAAAATGTCGTCCTCTAAAGGAGATGTTTCTATTCAGCCTGAGGTGGATGGGAGGTTAAAGTCGACTTCTTCAATGGCCAAATTAAGAGCTCTATCAATTTCCTCCCCCAAGCGACCCTTAGACCCATCTGAGTTAGACTGGCTTGGCTGCTCAGTGATCCGATCGTTGACTTCACCGCCTTGGTCCTCTGAGGCTAAACCCTCAAGGCCAATATCCCTAAGGCTCTTGAAGTTTGGGAAGATGAGTGTCGTGAGATATTGCTTGCCTTTTAGAATTGGGATGTGATCAGCAGTAGAAAAAGTTGAATATTTTGGGTCGTATCGCAGTAGGACGTGGGCGGCCCGCCCTTGCTTTTGAAGGTTTGGATGGTCGAAGAATTCAAGTGCGGTTTTGACTTGCGAAAGCACAGCGTCATCGGCCGAAGTGAGTGCTTTTTTCAGATCGTTACCTGCACATACAAAAAGATAAGTACATGGAATCCAAGCCGAATAAATCTAGAATCCAAGCCGAATAAATCTACAGAAATGCACAAACGAAAGAGAAATGGGTTTGTACAGCCAACTAGCTCACCTTTTTGTCTAGGCACAGTGTCCAGGCAATCTTTGCCTTCGCCGAATTCCTAGTTGCCTTGGATGACGACCATGACATCGTCGACACACTTACCAGAGCTGGCAAGTATAGTCACCAAATGGTGATCTGTGTCTTTGGCCTTGAGAAAGTAACGTCCCTACAGACCGGATGATTTCGCCAAGGCATAGCAGTGCCGAATAGCAGGGATTCCTAGGTTAAGTCTAAGTCGGCGATTTAATTCTATTACGCCTATTATAATTCGGTAAAAATTTATGTTTGGTTGTGAAGGAAGTAGACCCCAATAGCGAAGAACGGCCCTAAAAAACAGATGAAGGGGAAAACAGATTCCGCCCTCAGCGATTGACAAGAGAGAAAAGTGGATCGTACTCGCATCAGTCCTCTCCATGTCAACCACGCCGTCCGCCACGAGTGACAAATGGACGTCATCTGGAACTGAGAAATGGCGACGAAAGGCGAAAACACGGTCCGCAGAAAGGAGAGCTTTCAAGTGTTTCACCATTCAAAACGGAATAAAAAATATGCTAACTAAAAACAAACAAGAAAATGGGAGCTAGAATGAGGAAGAAATATAAAGAAGAGAAGAACTTACAGGTTAGAGAGAGATGGGCAATGGGAAGCAGGCGAAAATCGCAGAGGTCTTGGAGAAGTAAGGAATAATACTGTAAGACAACCCAAGAGCCTTGCACATTCAAAAAACATTCGAAGGGACAACGCGGTTTCAAATCGCATTAAATGAACATGTATGAAGGGGCAGGAAGTTGTAATGATTTCTAATCGTGTTCATTCTGACACTTGGGTATTGAAAGAAGTGCGAGCGTCGTACTTTTGACTTTCGATACGTAAACCAAACATGCAAACTGAATGGTATTAGTTGGATGTTCAGGGGGCAATTGTGGAGGCCGAATTTAATCAATGAGGTAGAAAGGCAGAGTAGGCCAGTTGGGATACTGGGCCGAAGACAAGTCGGCCCTACCCAGAAGCCCATGAAGCCGCATATATGAATCGGCCATATAAAGAGCCGAATGGGAGCCAACACACTTAGCTAGAAGGCCGACTAGATAATTATATGTAAGGTCAAGAGTGGGCCTGACCCTGGGCCCAAGCGTAATATAAAAAGGAGGAACATCAGCCAAAAAGGGGGTATGTAAAAAAAACAACGATAACTTGTGATAGAAGAAAGATTTAAGAGAATACTAACTTGTTCGTCGGAGTGCTAATTCCGGCACCCCCGACCGGAGTGTTTATTCCTATTTCAGGTATCAACTCGAGGATCAAGAGCATCTGCTTGGATCATAAAGGGTATTGCCAAACCACTTCACCACAGTAAGTTATACATCCTAAAACATATGCTAGTTTTTCCAAGTAATGCATAAAGAATTGTCCAAAGCATTGTTAACCCTAGTATGCAGAACCTTCATTGCAATGTCTAGGCATAGAAAACTACAAGTAATAACATAAGTAGCTAATATCATATAGGAACTCGCAAGTTAAGCATCCAAGAGTTGGACCAACCAAGTGTTGGACATAGCTAGAACCTTTCTTTAACTTGTCTTGGTAATTACTCCCAAGAAATATGCAGAAAATACTTACTATGTGGAAATGTTGACAAATGGAAGAAGTATTACTCAATACTTGGAATAAATTGATTCCACTTTAAAACTTCATTAAAGGTCAGTATCCTGTGTTGGAATTCTATATTATTGACCAATCAGTATTAAAAATTGCATCAATAACAAGAAAACTTCAAGAAACCAAACCATTAATGAACTGAAGTATAATATATCCCAAAACTCTATGAAGCTTACTCCCATTACTTGGGTCAACATGTAATCCCTGCTACTTCTAAAAGAATACTATTCTTATTGCCTCAATTTGTCATTTGAGCTTTCACTTGTCCTCAGTCCCCTTAACCCCATACATATCACACTAGACTATCTTTTCATTGGCATGTTTAGAAAAATATTCACATATGATATGTCTTCCTTCTTTTGCATGTGCCTAACGAAGAACATCAGAGATTTGTCAAGCATGTTCATTTGTAAGGATATAGCATGTGTCCTTGGCAAGGTCATTAGAATGGAACTCACAGATCCAAATTGTATCCTAATTTGCATGTGAAATGAATTTCTAGATAAATGCAAATTTATGTTTAATGTATATGGAAATGAAAGCTTGATCAAGAATGATAATAAATTATGAGGACAAGGAGATCTGAATTATAAGTGACAAAATCTCAAATAATGAGCAAATAATAATTAGAAATCAAAAGGAAACTGATGGATGAAAAGGGATCAACTACTTGCATAACCCTACAAATTGAACAGAGTATTTTGAAAAATACAGATTGGCCAACTCAATTGATTCAACTTCCAATATAAAGGAAACAACACAAAATGTTAACATCATAGATCACACAAATGAAGAAAGCAATTATCATTTAAGACATAAATGCCAATGCATATTTTAGAAGGAAATACAAGCAGATTGATGAGTAGGTATCTGCATTGTCAACAAATGCCTGACACATTATACAGACAAAATAAGTAAAGAAAAATCTTGTAGAAATTTAATGTATAAAGAGAAATGATTGTATTATTGATTGATCTATTCATATGATATTCTGTCTATTACAAATGGTTCCTTATATAGATGTAGGTGTAGTGGATGGTGTGTAGTGGATGGTGATAGTGGTGTAGTGGGTTAGGTTTAGTGGAGTAGGTGAGGTGGTAGTGGTGGTAGGTGATGGTAAATTCTAACAAATCTCTTCTTGAAACTGATCACTTACCTGCAAGGAAGCAATCAAGACTTTTGAAGCGCTCCTAAAACATGAAGACAACAGTAAATAGTTTACCCTATCTTATATAATTAAAAATAAAAAAAAAAAATTCTGAGAAGGACTTACAATTCCAATAAGGTTCTCAAGGCAGAGCACAACAGAACTTTTAGTTGCAGCAGAGCAGACAGCTAATTTTTTACCCTATAACCATCAGCCAAAAAGCAAATATGATAACAGAGGGAGGCATAGACAAGCAGGATTCTTCATGTATGAAAAAGGACATGGAAGTTGACAACTTTGGAAAGAATAAGTAGTCTTATAACCTAATTAAATGTGGATAACAGATGCAAATTCAACGAAAAACTTAAGAACCATGACAAAGTGATAATTGCATTTATAAGGTAAAATGTTCATCTTACAGCATCCTTGGCCTCATCCATCAATCTCAATACTCCAGGTCTGGGCTCCACCTGCCCATTAACTCAAATCCATTTTCTTCACAATCACTCATCCAAAATAATCACCCACATAGATGAACTAACAAGTAATCAAAAATGAAGAATACAAAAATTTGTACTCACAGTCCCAGATCTGATAATTTCTTTGTATCTTTCAGTCTTCCAGTCCTAAAGATAGATAACCCTAAAACAATCAATACAACCAACTAATTGATGATACAGATTATAAATCTTTTCAATTCTACGAAATTAGCACAAAGATTGTGCACTAGTATAGAAACTCAAAAGGTATGGAACCTTTTTTCACATAGCCAAACTAAAAATTATAATGGGCAAATTTTACTTTACGCTTTATGGTTTGGCCAATGTGCAAATAAGCCTTGTCATTTGAAAATAAATGCGTAACCCTTTGTTTGTGCACTAAATCAGGTTGTTAAAGGCCGAAATGAAAAGACTAAAATACCCTTTCTACATAAGTAATCTCATTATGCAAAGTAGAGATATTTTCGTGAATTTTTTAAGGTAAAATTCAGTTTAATCCTATGTGCTTTACTCCATGTGCAATTTACTCTTGTGATATTTGGGAATGAGCATATAAACCCTTATCACAGTTGCTCTATAGTTCAGTCCACAAAGCTTCTGTGCCAAACCACAACCACAAGGGTAAAGTGAAATCTGCCCAAATATAATTCCCAATATGTTTAGGGGTTGACCACCAAATTGAATGAAGTACCTGGAGAGTATCAATTAACATTGCTCTGTCAGCATCGTCCTCAGGAGGTGTCTCAGAGATGGTCGAAGATGGCCAACCGTGCTCCTTAAAGTACCTAATCATGAAAATTCTAGTCACCAAATCAACAATATATATATGTATATATATAAGAAACATCAAGAATAGAAATTGAGAGAATTGTAGAGAGAGAGAGAGAGAGAGAGACCATCGCATCTTGGGTTTGCCACCACCGATGCGGTTCTGGAGATCGTCGTAGAAGTGGGAGTCCCAATTGAGGGGCTGAGAGGAGGAGGAAGGGGAGGTGGGGCAACGAACATTGAAGTGAGAGAAAGCGTCGTTATAAGCTTGGCGGTGCAAGTGCTCGGACTCCAATATGACACCGTCGCAGTCAAATATCAGAGCTTGGAGAGCACTCGAGGAGGAGGAGGCCGACGATACCGAGAGCGGTCTGACGGTTCTTGTGGTGGTGGTGCGGAGAGGGGAAAGACGGAGGAGGGGGTGGAGAGAGAAGAGACTGTTGGGAGAAGAGAGAGGGGGATGGGGAGGGACCAGGAGCATAGTAGCCATGAATGGATTGATTCTATAATCTGTTGTGTGTGTGCGTGTTTGTGTTTGTTTTGGGACAGTCAAGTTATGGGAAGTGGATTTTGAGAGTGCGTGAAATCTAAAGGAGGGAGGGGGGTTTCATTTCATTTGTGTGGCTATCCACACACGGACAGAGGGCCAAGTTTTTCAGTCGTAACGGATTTAACGACTGTTAGCATTCTTCCATCGATTGCAAGAGAAAATTCAGTGGGCCTAATCTAGCTTTTTCCATCCAAAAATTACTAACATATCACCGTGTCACGTACAGATTGTATTTATAATTATTTATATATATAAATTGTGATTTTTAAATATATATATATATATATTTAAATGTCTTTTTTTTTTTAAATATTTTTTTTCTTTTTAATATTTTGATAATAATCATATGTGTCGGACTTTTCAAGAAATTAAATGTCTTTTTTTTATTTATTATATTATATTAAAGTTTAATATTTTGATAATAATCATATGTGTTAGACTTTTTAAGAAATTTTTTTTATACTTGTTCTTAATGTATTAAAGTGTTATTATGAGGGATAATAATCATATGTGTTGGAACTTTTCAAGAAATTCATATGTGGTGGATTTCAAAGGATTTTTTTTATGCTTGTTCTTAATGCGTTAAAGTGTTATTATGAGTGTAAGACTTGGGAGTTGGAAGAAGTTAATAAATGTTAAGATTTTTTTTTTTAAAAATTAAAAAATCAGGAAATTTAGATTGAGAGATTGGAGCTCCCACAAAACTTGGGGCTAAAAACCTCCTTTTGCTTAATAGATAGTATAGATACGCATAATCATACCTTTCATCAATCACAATTTATTATATTTTTACATATTTTTTAATCACTTAATATAAATTTAAAAATATTAGAGATTTTAAAAATTTTATTAAAAATTTTATATAGATGTGGGACTCACATGAGATCCATATTTGTGTAAGTCCCACACCCATGTGAAACTATTGGCTTTTTTAGCTTTTGAAGGTTAATTATGTAATTTTAAGCGTACTAGTAAGAATTAATAAGTCCTTACAAAAAATTTAATTACCAACCAATTATCAGATGATTGTGTTAAAATTCTTTCAGCCTCAATGAAGAGGGCTTGTACTGGTGGCTTTGCTTAGGAGAAACTTATAAATAATAATAAGTACAAACAGTTTAGAAACTGAATTTCATTAAGTAAATGAAAATTTGCAATGACCCAGCCTCGAAGAGGTTTACAGCGACAAACTACTTGAAATTACTCCTAAGAAATGAAGTGCAGTACAAGAATTGAAGGTATAGAAATTGAAGAACTGGAAATGTAAAAACTAAAAAGAAAAATATGAAGTAAATAATTAGTTTATGAATCTGAGTCTGGGTCCCTATTCTGTTGGCCTTCTCTTCTATTTATACTCTTTAATGGTAACCGCCGAAGTGGTCTTTTAATCGTCGAGATGCTCGTCTACGATCACTGGTCATGGCCTTGAACAATTTGCTCCCATTACGCTATTCTTGCAGTTGGACTTCCTTCTTGAATTTGAATTTGAATTGTGAGTAACCGTTAGGCCACGTCATCTTGCACCTTCTAACTGCTCCAATGCTGCGTAGATCCATTGTTACCAATATGAACTACCACGTGTCTGTTACTGACTGGAGACTCGCATTAACTCCCCAAACTACCCTTTACGAGTCGCGTGTTAGGCTGCGATTGGCTTATATAAAATATATAGCCAATATTACCCCTTGCACTAATATACCCAATACTTGGTGATATTAGTGGATCAGTGCATTTTGCCAATGTCCTAGGACATGCATAGACTTTGTTTATTTTGGAAGTGTAACCGTTTTCGAGCAATGAAGCACTAAACTTTATTAAATTCTTCCTTGCGCTTTGAACCCCCACTATTTGTGTACACGAAGAGACTGATACATCTCCAATGGCTAACCAAGCTCTTTCTTGCATTGATTAAGCATACAAGGAGGTTCATGCATTTATTGATCACATTTATCCACCTCCATTTATACAAGATATGGAAGCTTTTACAAAATACGACCTCTGGACCAAGAATTTTCAAAAATGGATCTTAAAAGCTCTACCTCTGCTCCGAAACCTTTTGTATGGGACAAAGCTGCCTCATTCTTTTTCTAGAAATATTGGCTGGGGTACTTGGCCCACACCCACTCAATCTCAAACAAGGAAGCGAATCCACCATAGATTTCCTAAATTTGATGACCCCACTGTTATTCATCCCTCTATGCGCAGCTCTATAGTATATCCATATGTCCTTTTCGATCGTCTTCGCTGTCTTGAAGATAACTTGCTTTCGGCATGGTATACCTCTACCTTGCCAACCAGAATAGTGCGAAAGACCCCACACCCCATTGAAGCTTTGGGAATCAGCCCCTCACTCTTAGCCAAAAAAGAAAAACTTTGCTTCTTTGACTGGCTAGAGTATGTGAACGAGCCTCAGTTTCCACTTTCATTTGGAGGGGACCCAATTGCTCCTTTCTTGCCTCCCAATCCTAATTGGATTGAGGAATTGAAGCTCACCCTCTTCAAGAGCCAGCATTTTGCTCCCTATTAGGCTCCAGTTCCTCTAACTGCTTATCAGCAGTATAGAGCCCAGACTCTGCTTGCTGCTTTCTCTCACTTATCCTTCGAGGTCCTTCGAAATGACATTCCTCACAAGAACCTTTTATGGGCTTGTGATATTGTCTCTCAAAGCCACGTCCTCAACCCTGTGGCCTAGGCAAAGCTTCACACTTTCCTGGATCAGCTCCTTTTCCTACTCAACTAGCACAAAAATGCTTCTGCCAGTAGTGAGTCCCTGGAGGAGATCTCTGCTACTCGCATTCAAACCCAATATGAGGTAGAGAATCTTCTTGAAGAGTATGAAGACTTCAAGAATCATGATTCAGAGAATGGAGAATATGCCAACAAAGAAGATACCAATATGGGTAATACGCATGTGAGGGGAGAGATAGACGAAGTGGAAAGAGCTCTTAAGCAAATAAAGTTCGAAATGAAGGCCCATCAACTCTTCTTCCAAATAAGGGCTCATCAATTAGACAAACCAAATTTTGATAGGATAGAAGAAAGGCTAGAAAAGGAATATGTATTTATTGAATTTTGTTGGACAAAGTTTCATAATCTTGTAACTTTGTCCATTCCATACTTTTACGAAATTGATAATGTAACCAAGTAGGTTTTCCCAATGTAAATGTTTTATCAATAAAATGAGATTTTTCATATTCCAATTGTATGGTTAATATGATCTTATTCCTCACCTTGTTCATATAATCTGTGTAAATGACAACTTTGAATTAACCAATATTACTTCGAAGCCTAGTTTAGGTGTTTCGAAGCATGGAGTTTCTCTTAAGAGTGACAATATTTGTCTTAGAAGAGATTTGTCTTAATAGAAAGTCCAAGAAAGTACCTTAATGTATGGGTTAGTCCTCTGGCCTTTGAAATTTTCACACTGTTAGTGCTTACTTATTTTGAAATCCAGAAAAGGTCAGGCAAGAACTATACTCTACTCAAAGAATACTTTATCAAAAGATCTTTCGAAGGAAATTGCCTTTCATGGACATATTATAAACACACTCTTAAAACCTTTGAAGTAAACAAACCCTAACTATACTTTGAGTTTAAGGCACAAGTTTTAAAGATATTAGAAGAAACTGGCTTCGAAGCTGACTACCTGTTTTCGAAGCCCAGCTGAGTATTTGAAATGTGTTTCCTTCTCGAAATGCTGCTCTTGAAGGAAACTCTCGTTGCTGTGTTTTCAAGACCCTTTTTTGTTTTGAAATAAAGGCCCTAATCCCACAAAAAATAGCCAATTAATTAACTTAGGTATTTGACCCGTTAGGCTGAACGGGTAATTTTTTGACAGAAAGGTTTAAAACCCCAATTTCTCGCAATCTTACCTACTCACTTGTCTAGTATTGCCTTTCACTTCTCTTACTGTAGGCTTTAAGTTCTTACCCTTCTCATACTCACTCTTTACACCCTCTTTTCAATTTCTCACTAAATGGCTTCTTCTTCGAAAGTACCAGTTATTGAGCATATGAGCCCGTCTGTGGCTTTGAGGAGGTGTCTTAATAAATAGATAGACAAATACAAAGCTGGTGAACCAAGCACCATTGATGGGCGCACCTTCGTCCCTCGTTACCATGCTCAAGAAGAATACATCCTTAGACCTATCTTCAGAGAAGCCCATTCCCCGCTTCCTGCTCTGTATCCTTGTTTAGAGGATCACTGCCTTCTTTACGAGGGAGACCTTGACTAGGAGAGCTAGAGGATGAACTGACCTCATCGCTGCTGGCCTACATTGTGGCTAGAATGAGAGAAATGGTATGACCGAGTTGTTCCTGCCAGAACATGGGGCCTTCAAGAACTCTGTCTCCTTGACGCCCTTTGTCTATCCAGGTTTACTATTCCTAAGGATCCTTTCCTAATACCTGCTGCACTTTGCTTTTGGAATCCAACTTTTAATTTTTTTCAATTTCGGTGTGGCATGATGGCCCTCACTGTCCTTGACATGTGCCATCTTTTAGGGTTATCTCCTATTGTACCCTCTTTGGTCCATACTACCCTGACCTTAAGGTCCTCTTCTCTATTCCCCCTTTAAACTCTTCCTTTAGTGATTTTGTAAGTTCTGAGAACAAGAGAAAGATCTTGTGACCGATCGAGAGTTGTTTTCTTTTCTTCTATATTGGCTTTGCAAATTTTTTTTTTGTACCTCTTTTTAGAGGATTATACCTGAATTTGCCTTTCTTGCCAAGGCTCTTGCTTCGAAGAAGAAGATAGCCTTGGCTCCTTATGTTTTGGGCCATTTCTATAGAGTTTGTTCCCAATTTTGTGAGAGGCTCATAGATGTTAACCAATGAGGCCTATTCTGGGTACTTCAACTTTGGCTTTTTGCATACTTCACAAATTTACACTCCAAGTGTTTAAAATTCTTGGTGCAACACCCTACCACTTATGGAGTGAAATATGCCAGAGTTTCCCTCTATCCTTCTAGTTTTGCTTTATACTTTTCTTTTTTCTATCAACTCCCATCTGTCCACCTTCTTCTGCCCTTTCGGAGCTAATACAGGGCCAACATGGCTAAGAACCTTTTTAGCTGATAGAAACTGC